ATGAGGAGTTGATCGGAGAATATTTTAGTATGAGAATATAGGTGATTCATGAAGGAAGAAAGGACCTAAATAAAAAGGCGATGTATTTTGGGGTTAATTTACTTAAAGTTCTCTATTTGGGGGACTAATTTGCATATGTTAAAAATATAATAAATGAATATAATTGAATAAAAAGAGTTAACCACCGAATAATATTTAAGATGGTATGAGAAAAAATAATAAAACTCAATCATTTTTCTTAAAAGATAAAGTTTTAAAAGGAAAAAATTGTCATATTGCCTTCTTAATTTTGTACCTAAAATTTAAATAAAAAATAATTTTAAAAAATTTTCTTATAATATTAGCATGTTGCGTTATTTAATGATTATTTTTTTGTTTAATTAAAATTTACAATATTATATTTATTTATTTATTTTCATAATATATAAAAATTGTATTAAAAAAATTAAGGGGTGCATTGGTTCCGTTGGAACTAAAACCGAGACCCTAACTTTTTTAGCAACCGAATTTTTTCTATCTCTACATTGAACATTGCACAGATATACCCCCGGTTTTTCAGTCCGGTGACCGAAAATGGCGGTTTCTCTAATCAGCTGTCTGCAACCGAGACGCCAAAGAGTTGGGGGAGAGGAAAGGGTGGCGACGATGGCGAATCGAAGAAGACGATTGACGAACAAAACAAGGTGGATCACAATAGGTGAGAGCTTCAAGTAAAGCAAGCACGACGGTGGCAATTAGACTGGATCTAGCAATGCGATAATATGTTGTGATATCTGGCGGCGGCGGCGGCGGCGGCGGCTACGATCTAATAACCAAAAACCGAATGAAGGCCCAAGTCTTTTGGTCCAAAAAAGTAAAACAAAAAGAACCCTAAATGGCAGTGGCAAAATGATGCAATCGCCGTACCGCCTCCGCCGTCCTCATTTTCACTTTCCCTCTATTTTAAACAAATCCCTCCAAAGCGCCAACCCAAAAGATCAATTTCCCTCCTAAAGCTTTAACTCCAAAGATCAATTTCCCTCCATTCTTGCCTAATCTTTCATGGATTTTTATCAAATTTTCTCATTCTCTTGAAAATCAATCTCCTTTTTCTAACTCTCCATCTCCTTTCTCATCTTCTCTGCTTATCACTACCACCACTTGCTGGTAGTCATAGCCTTTTTCTCGCCGTATCGAATTGTGATATACTAATATTAGAAACCGAAATCCTAATCTTGGTTCAAGATTTGATTTCGAGTTCGTGAATCACGATCCTTACTTCTTCGATTACACTTCTAAATTTTGACTTCGAGACTGTTACAAGGGGAGGTTCAATACCTACATTTAAGCTAAAATAGGTAAAATATTCTTAAATTAGGATAATTATTTTTGTTTAAGATTTTATTAAAAACCATAAACCAAAAAATTTCTAAAATTTATAGTCATTTAATTAAAACCTTTAAATCACGTTCAAATTTTTGATATTCATAGTAATATTAACAAAAAGCTTAAATTATGCTATTGAAGTAACTTATTGATATTTATTAAAATATAGATACTTTAAATTTGTATAAATTTGTAATAATTGATTTGTTTATTCATGGTATAAATATAATGCATTTGAAAGTAAAACCTCAATTATAGGACAGGTATATTTTTAACATTTTAAAATGATTAATGCTATATTTTCAAGAAAAGTTC